AATAATAAATAGGACATGCTGTATCAAAATCTAAATTTTCCTCTTCCTCAACTTCTCTGCCCAATTATTACATGCTATGATAGCTTTGTTCTCCCAGCAAATAAAAAACATCTTGGTACTTACGTTGTAATTTACAGTTGGTAAATGGTCCCTTTATTCCCTGTGCATAGAAATTTAGGTCTTTAAAAATCTGAATCAAAGCCACCCAGCATTTTTGCTAACCCTTAACTCTGCTTGTTCAAATCTCTACCCAAGGAATCATTCCACACCTGATACATCAAAGACCTATTGTAACATGGGTTTTTATGGTTAGGCTCTTGTTGTGTTTGAAGTAGCTCAACACATGAATGTTAACAGCATCAGCTGGTTTACAATGTCTTGCCTTTGGTATGAGTTTACATTAGTGGTTAATGAGAAATTTGAACAAACTCCAAAGAGCACCTTTTGAAAATTATTTTAAATCTTGCCTCTGGCTGTGGGTATACCAGCAAGGGGCCTTTGTGACCTCTCTGTGAAAACCAAAGCCAGGCTGCTTGGAGTAGTTGGGCATCAGAAGCTCAAAATACCCCAAAAGCATGTGTGGTCAAGTTCATGTTAGGGTTCTGATCCAAATCCAGTTACATTCTTACAGGCGGCAGCCAGGTGCCTTTCTTCCCTCTGAAGAAGTTCGGAGGTCTTACTCACAGGTTTCCACTTGCATGGGCAAGATGCTAACACATCTTTGAAGATACTGACATGGGTGGGAAGGGCAGGGAAGGTGATAAAGACAGTGGTCGCCTGCAAGGCTACCCTTTTCTATTTCTTTTGGAGGATCAAACTCCTGATGTTTCCTGCTGGACACCCAAGCCTCTTGTTGAGTCTGGCATACAAAAGAACTGTTGAGGAGGGACTAAATCACTGGCTCTTCCCTAGTTCTAAAGAGCAAGTGAAAAAGAAACAGGTGCCTTTGAGCAGCACCTCAATCTCTCTGCTCCCACACTGCCCCAAAACAGATTCTGCGTTTCTAGACGGTTTTCTCCCTGAACAAGAAACTCAACTCATTACCAGCTTGCTCATGAAGCATTAAACCACAGGGTGCAACAAAACAAAACCCTTGACACATAGACAAGGGGTCTAATTTCAGTTGGTGTTTGATTTTACAACTCCCTTCACTTGGGATCCTAGTTCCTTGTGTCTCAAGAAACTCAGGTACCCATTCCTTCCATTTATAAATGTGTCCTTGATACCAGTGGCATAATATCCTATTTGATGTCCTAAGGGGACATCCACAAGTAGCCAAAAGTGTCCCCATTGACACGAAGGCCATGATGCCATAGAGTCTACTTTCTGAATTCTTGTCATTGTCTTTATGAGATCTACACAATGGCCTTAATTAAGTTCACTGCCAATGGCATATCTTACCATGCTCAAGTCAGCAGCATCAGAAAGAAAGGGGTAAGTTAGGGGCCAGGAGAGGCATGTGCCATGAGCAAGTGGATGATCCTAGAAGCCTGTGAATGTTGAGAAGTGACTGACATTCTAAAGCAAAAGTCTTTGAATTTAAGAGAGAGGAGGAAAGAAAACCTTCTCCTCCACCAGCTCCACCCTTGCCCCTTTAAAGGTAGCTTCTGAAATGTAAAGAATTATTTTAAGGCCCATGGCACTGCGTTGGTGGCTCAGGACACGACAAGCTGATGGCTTTTCAGAGAAATGGAACACTCGTGGGGCGCTGTTGTTGTTGTTATGTGCCATCGAGTCAGACCCGACTCATAACGACCCCTCCTTGGGTTTCCAAGGCCGTATCACTACGGAAGTAGATGGCCCCATCTTCCTTCCAAGGAGTGGCTGGTGGGTTTGAACCGCCAGCCTTCTGGTTAGCACTAAGCTACCAGAGCTCCCATGGGACACTGGAAGCTTGTAAAACCTGTAGTCAGTCTGGGGAAAACTATAGACTTTTCAAAGAAAGTTCTTTCCAGATAGAAGGGATCACCTTGGAAAGCTTTTGTTTCTGAGTCAAAACAAACAAACAAACAAACAAAAATGCTAAGGGTAACAATGATGACCATAAAACCAAAATTTATTTCCCACACCAAAAAGTATATAGTCATTTTGACCTGCATCAAGATCAGCTTATTTTTGGCCAGATGGAAAAACACTGATCAAGTACTCCTGTGAAATCCAGACACCCCACAAGTACAGTAAAAATTTCTAAAATGAATTTAAGAACTAAACCCTGTTTATTTCACTGTATGATATGTGGCTACCAGCAAAGTATGTGTGACAAACTGTTAAAGGTGTTGCTTGGTCAGATAGGAACTTATCCCCCAAAGTATACCCTCCCCTGTGGTCCTTAGACACCTTTCAAGCGGGGCACTGAACCCACCCCCAGGGATGATCCTGCAGCCAAACAATGGACAAGGGTATGAAGTGAACAGTAACACCAATGAGGTTACAAGCTCCTCAGAACAACTGAGGAGGCAGGAAGGGGCAGGAGAGAGGGATGAACGGGAACACGGAACCTAAGGAGGAAGAGGCCTGTTACATTCTGGGGATTGCAACGAAGGTCACTACACCAAGGTATAGAAGCTTCTGAGTGGAAAAGTAATTTGCTCTGTAAACTTTCACTCAAACCATAATAAAAAGTTTAAAAAAAAAATTTTTTTTTAAACCCAAATCACAGTCTCATTAACCTAAGGTAACACTGGAAATAACACCTGCATTTGTAGGTTTCTCAACTTGAAAGTCGAGAGTTTAAAAAAAAAGAAAAAGTTGGAGTTTTCAAAACTTACTGGAATTATGGCAGCTCATATGAAGATTTCAAGGGAAAAAGAACAGGCAACAGAAATGTACACAAACAGTCAATGTTAAAAAACACTAGAATCACTTTAAGACTGGAAGAGAATGGCATCCACATACCAGAAAAGTCTGGGTTTGTTCTGCCATTTTTGAAAACCTAAGTTTTTCCCCAAATTAAGATTTCACCTTGGGCATAATATTAATTATAGAATTATTCCTCTACCTGAAGTAGAAATAGAAGACACTTGTGTTTTTTAAAGAAAGATGAGAAATATGTATACCCAAAACTATAGCCAGGAAGAGTGTTTTTCCCCTGGTAGTTAGCACATGGGCTCAAAGTTTAATTTTTTTTTTTTTTTTTTAACAAACACTGGATAATAGAAAAGGAGTATCTCTAAACATATGGAAAGTGTCTGTGAAAAACAAGCAAAAGGAAGCAGCTCTCCAATTTGGGTAAAGATACATGCAGGCTTTCCATTCTGGCCTCATCTGTGGGATTCTGAGCTGTCAAATGTTTTGCTTCCACCATAGGAGCTCTGGTGTTGTAGTGTCCAAGGCATTTGACTGCTAACCAAAGGGCTGGCAGTTCAAACCCACAGCCTCTCCTCAGCAGAAAGACTGGGCAATCTACTTCCATAGAGATACTGCCTCAGAAACCCAAGGAGGGGTCGCTATGTGTCGGATCCGACTCCACAGCTGTGAGTTTGGTTTGGTTTTTTGTATGGAGAACTATAACATAGTTGTTCCAGGTGATCTTTTCTTATACCCTCCAGTGGCCAATATTCCATTTTTTTTAATGATAGAGGGAAAATGTGCCTTGTACAGAAATAATCTGTTTATAGGGGCTGAAGTGGTGGTAGCCGAGGCAGGTTACTCCAGAGAAGTAGGCCTGGCCAAATCCCAGACCAGTGGCTCTCATCCCCACTGCCTTCACTGGGATCTTGGGGAGCCACTACCAAGGAATCACACAAACTTGGCCATTGTAATCCCTATAGTGGGACTTTTATAAATATCAAGATAATTTTTATACCTATTCTTCAGATTCTCAAAAAGTTATGAATGAAAGACCCTAATGACCTATTACAGGTGGTATACTCACCTGGCATCTCCCCATTCTTCCCTCACTATCTATTTCTCCCCACAAATTATAAGTGAAAGGGACAACCTTGTTTAAACCCATGTGTGGAGTACTGGGTGCAAAGCAGATACTCAGTAAGTACTTACTCAATGTAATCCCAACTCCTCATGTCCACACCCAGCTCAGTGCTACATAAATTATTAGTGGGTGACTGTGAAGCTCTGTGGAGCTGGCTAAAAGAGAAGACAGTAAGACATTTTGATGTCTTCTTTTAACCAAAATCATCACTTTGAATTTTGGTAAAATGCCATGCGTGCAGTCTTTAAATGTATCATCTCTGTGGCTACGATCACATTCTGAACAAGTCCTTGAAGAAAAAGAGATGCCTCCCTTTATAAAACCTGACGAATCCCAGGAACTGTTCACCTCTAATCATGAGTCTCATCATTTTCCCAGAATTGGCAGGTAGGGCTATCCCTAAAATAGCTTGCGTTTAAAATAGGTAAGTGGATAGAACCCTAACTCCTTTAGCGTTTATAACCTGGATACATTTCTAGATCCCTGTACTTGGTTCGGTGATTCAAGCAGCACTTAGCATTTGGCTGTGGCCAAGGAGAAGAGGGAACCAGGGCGAAGAGAAGCATCTTTCATCATCATTGGCTTGTTGTACACAATACCCATGCTTTGAAAATAACAGTGACATTTAATCTTCAAAATCAAAAAATAGACATATTCTCTAATATCAAAATATAAGATTAAAATGTTAGTGTGACATAGGGCTTTTTTTTTAACATGAAAAAAGGAAATATTTTAGACTTGCTTTTTTTGTATAAATCTTCTTGTCTCACTAATATTTACAACTTTCCAGTATAGCTTTTATAAGCCACTGGAAGAGACAGGGAGAAAAACAATCCTCGTTTGAGATATAAGGACCTGAAAGTTCACGTTGGAGAGGACAGTCCTCCACAGCAAATCTGCCACTGACTCTACAGAGAGGGAAGCTACATTTCCAACCTTGCACGTTCTCATTCCATTCTCCTCTTCCTGGCTGTTAAATATTTCCAAGAATATTCTATTTGTATAATGACTTTACTCTGGCTATCAATCATTTCCTTTAAGAAAACTACATTTTCTATCCTTCACAAAATGCCCCTGAAAGCCATCAAGATATGTGGAGATATCAGATTTTAAAAACTTAAACCTAGTTATATACCCTTGAAACAGTATGAACATCTAACAGAGTGACATTATATCCTTATATTTGTTTGTCATGAGATGAAAGGCCGTGAGGCATATGGTGATTATTAATTGTTCCTGAGCTTCTAAAGAAATCTTAAAATGACTAACTGCATAACTGCATAAAAGAATGAGTTCTTCAAGAGCGCCTCTTCTGTCCCATTGATGTCTTTCATCCCATTTATCTCCTTAAAGAATCTCTAGCAGGGAAAAAAAAAAAAAAAAAAAAGGCTTCCTTTAAGCCACCGAGAAATGGGACCTGATGGAGTCTTCCCGCAGCTCTCGATGTTTTCCAATGTTACTTTCTTCTTGCTGGTTTCGCCTCTCAATGGTGATTCTGTATTTTTTCCTGGGTAAAGAGAAAGTGAAGGTAGTAATAAAACCTTACTGGGATACAACGTACTATGGTTTCTCTCACAAAGAGTGCCCTCAAGGGACATCTGGGCTTGAGTTGATAAATGAGAAGTGACAGAATATGAAACCCTGGTCAGAGATTAAAGTCGTATGCCCCAAGGCGTTCTGCCCTTATTCAAGGAGAAAACTTGGCATGCTTTCCCAAACGGCATACAACAAGCCTCCCTCTTCTTCCCTGGGCGCCTTGTGTGTTAAGTCTTGTCTATTCTGCCACAGAAGCTCCCTTCAACTCCCAGGATGTGCCCCAGATAAAGATCAGATTAAGTGTACTGTGGCCAAGGGAACAGAAATACAATTGTTCCCACAGAGTCACATACACCCAGTGTGACATTTTCATACAGAAATGACAAAATCCTGGCCTACTGACATGAATAAGCAGTAAAGTCAACCACCAAAGATGACAAAGGCACAGACCGCCCTCGTGGTGTGGATCAGGATCTTGAGCACACAGAGATATTACAAGTTCACACGCCTTGGGGCTTAACCACAGTGGTAACTAAGCACTTGGGTTCTCCAAATACTGAGCACAGACCACCCCGAGAGCATGTACTCAGAGGTACCTCTTCCTCCTTAGAAGGTGAACCAAGGTACTTATTTCAAATTGGCGGAAACCTGAGAACTGGAAAGTTGATTTCCACCTTTCTCCCGATTCCCCCTCCATTTATGCACTTGGTGAGTGGTAAGAACTCAGATCAGGATTTCTATGATCAAAGCACAGTAGCAGCCCTCTGTCCCACAGGGGATGCGAGAAAAACCGCTGATCCTACCAGTACTCTGATCTGATCACCAAGCCTGAGGTCACCCCAGAAGAATAGTGCCACAGACTGAATTGTGTCCCCAGAAAGTATGTGTTGTAAATCCTAACCTCTATGCCTGTGGTTATCATCCCAGTTGGAAATGGGTTGTCTTCATTCAGTTAATAAGATAGGATTAGTGTAGAGTGTATGTTGAGTCAATCTCTACTGAGATATAAAAGAGATTGAACAGGCAGAGCAGAGATAGGGGAAGAGAGTTCAAGCCACATGAAGATCGCCCAGGTGTAGAAGCTCAGAAGAGACAAGGACTGTCCTCCAGAGCTGGCAGGGAAAGAGAGGCCTTCCCGAAAGCCAGCACTCTGAATTCAGACTTCTAGCCTCCTAAATGGTGAGAAAATAAATTTCTGTTTATTAATGCCATCTGCCTGTGGTATTTCTGTTATAGCAGCACTAGGGAACTAAGACAAATGGCTTGTGTTTTAATCACCATCTTCTTAGACATGGATAAGTCACAAGGAGACTGTGCAAAGACAAATGACCAAGGCAGTAAAGGAGGGCCCATTTAAAACTTTATAAGCAGTGCTAACCTGAAAAAGTAGAAGGCCATTAGCAAACCGGCTCCTAATAAGGCCCCCACAACAATGCCAGTCACTGCAGATTCTTCTAGGCCACCTGCTTGAAAAAGAAATGTAGATCACCAGAGTTCATTTTGAGAAATAGTTAGGAACGATGCCTCCAGTGCTACTCACTGGAAGTTGCTTCCCAATTCCCCACTTGATCCAAATTTTCCTTTCTTTTTAAGAAAAGTTTTCTTGGGGCTCCTGCACTTGCGTTTTTGCCAAGTACAAAACTTACACAGCATTTGAGAAAATACTAAACAAACCTACTGTTACAAGGGAATGAACACAGTGGGAATATAAGCACATGCAAGAAGGATTTGAGAAAAACTGGAAACAGAAATTCCCAAATGTATCCATTTTAAAAGTTTTTTTAAAAAACTGTGGTAAATATATATGTAATAAAGCATTTGCCATGTCAACATTCTTCATGTGTACAATTCAGCCGCATTAATTGTGTTTATCACATTAAACAACCATTCTCATTATCTGTTTCCAAATTTTTCCATCACTCTTAACAGAAACTCAGTGTCCCCTAAGCTCCAAGTCCTCCTTTCCCTCTCCCTCCCTTCCGCTCCTGGTAACTACTAATAAACAAGTCTGTACACACCCGTCTATTCTAGGTATTTCATATAAGCGGGATCATGCAAAATAGTTGTCCTTTTGTGACAGACAGTTTTATTTTGCTCAACATGATGTTTTTAAGGTTCATTCACGTTGTAGCATGTATCAGGATTTCATTTCTCTTTATGGCTAAGATTCCTTTGTGTGTATACATACCACAGTGTCCCCATTCACGTGTTGAACAACACTTGGACTGTTTCCATTATTTGGCTATTATAAGTAGCACCATAATGAACAATTGTGTATGAATATCTGCTTGCGCTCCTGTTTTCAGTTATTTGGGGCAGATACCTGTAAGTGGAATTGCTGGATCATATAGTAATGCTATGTTTAACTTTATTGAGTTTATCCTCAGAGAAGACAACCAAATGGGCCATAGGCCTGACCCAACACTTATCTTCACAGATGGGTGGTGACACTTCACAGTGCTGGGAGATCTGGTGAAAAATTCATGGGGTTCTATTTTCAGGTGTTCTCTCACCAAACCCAGAGTTTCATATCAAAATGTCCTACATAGTTTTGTGAAAACGTGAATAACAATTCGAAACAGTCAAGTTCAATAATGTCCCACTTTTTACATAAAAATGAGAAGTAGTTAGCTTGTGTGTAGAGAGCCTTTAGTGCACTGTCTCACTTAACCCTCAAAACAATCCTAAGAGTTGGGTACATTTTTCTCATCTGATACATGGGAAAGAGTCTTTAAGAGGTTAAGGAACTCTCCTGTGGTCAGAAAAGCACTGGTGATGAGTGTGGGATTCAAATCCAGGCCCAATAATTCCAAACACAGTGTTCTTTACACATTTCCCCATTATTCTCTCCCATGATTACTGAATAGACATTTATCCCCCACAGTTTGAAAGAGGCTCCCAAAACATCATGATTATTCATTTCTCCGCCTAAAATGACCAACTGACCTGAAAGATAGAAATTCACCTTGTTCTCCCTCATGAGCTGATAAAAAAAAGTCTCTGTAAAGCAGTGATTTCTAACTTTTCTTTTTTGTAAATTCCTTATAAGAACATCAACTTGCTTCTATATTTATATACAAGGTTGTTTATAAATAATAGGCTTTATACTTTTTTGCGAATTTGTAGGTTTTCAGATGTCTAAGGGACATAATCAGGAGGGACTGCTATTAGGAGGGACCAGTCCCTGGAGAAGGGCATCATGCTTGATAAAGTGGAAGGTCAGTGAAAAAGACCCTTAATGAGATGGATTGACACAGTGGCTGCAACAATGGGCTCAAACACGCCATTGACTATGAGGATGGTGAGGGACCCGGCAGGGCTTCGTTCTGTTGAACACTGGGTGGCTGTGAGTTGGAACCAACTTGATGGTCCCTAACAACAACAACAAGGGACACAGTACATTTGGTTTGGAGGGACAGGGCGAGGACTACAGACTCAAAGATTCAGAATGAAACTTGCTGTGAGCAATGAATATGTGCTCTCTCGCCACACGTAGTTATTTTGAATTTCCCTTAAAGTGGAAACTTCTAATACTAAGAGATCTTTAATATAAAAACAGAAGTCTTCCACCATTTTGAAAGAGAAGAGTAGAAAGACCTGCAAGCCTTTGATAAAGGTGATGCCTGTTCGCGAATCTTTTCCACATGTTTTACTACCTATCAGAAAAGGAAATGTGAACTTTCAGAACATGAGCTCCTGGAGAACACTTACCTTTTAAACTTGCATTATGCCAATGCTGTAAATGACAAAATACATAGCAAATTAAGCCTCTAAACTTACATGATTTGCAAGGAGAAGTGTTTGAGTGCTCGGCAATTCTGGTTCCATCTATTCTCAGCTTTAAAGGTCCCCACGGATACTTGACATTTGGCCGCATTTCAAAACGACCTTCTTTCCCAAAGTAATCACCAATAACCTACAAAAAGGTTTAAAACGAAGAAGAAGAATTAAACGTACACACAAACTAGAAGGACAAAGTGATCTGCTTCCGAAGGAGGAAGCCCCCAACCTTGGACAGTTACTCTCTAAAGCTGCAGGACCTGACTGAGCTGCCCTGCCTCCGCGTGCTGAGGACACCAGGTGACCCACCACCATCACTCATCTCTTCCGGGCGGGAAACAGCAAGTTCTTCAGAAGGGCACAGAGCAGAGGTGAGGAGATGTTGCAGAGGGAGCCCCCCTACTGTACATGCTGACTACAGGGTGTGTTTCTGAAGACACTGTAAGCCAGGATTTGGTATCGCCAATAGTGCTGCTGAAGGCATAATTTAGTGAGAAGAACCATAGCTCCCTAGGGCAGGGAAAGTGCTTAAACGGAGGCAGAAAAATGTAGGAAGTGGTCAGAGTGGAGCCACCCGGGGCATGCCTCACCTGATGGCTGAGTCCTGCCACTATTCTCTCTGCTCTACTTCAGTCACTACTATAGAGCAGAAACGAAGGATCTCCCCTATAGAAACAATAACCCCAAAATCCATGGTTTTTCCCTTGCTGGGCGGATACTGCACTGCCCCACCCATCTCCCACAGAGCAACGCACAGCTGGCCCTACTTCACTGACACGTAAGAGAAAGTGAGGGTACTCATGTGTGATGACAAACGAGGGAGAGTGACTCCAGGTTCATTCCACATCCAAAAAAAGAAACCAAACACTGCCATAGAGTCAACTCCAACTCATGATGACCCCCATTGGGTTTCCAAGGCTGTAAATCTTTACAAAAATAGACTGTCCGATCTTCTGCAGAGCAGCTGGTGGGTTTGAATCGCCAACCTCCTGGTCAAACAGTCAAATGCTTTAAGCACTGTGCCACCAAAGCTCCATTTTTTTTCACTTTTAGCAAATTTATATTGTTGGAGCAGTGGAATCACTATAGGGGTTGCCAGACTCTGGGCTTGTGTCACTGTTACTCAGTATGGTAACTTGTTTTACCTCCCCCTTCATCACCCGCCTGTCAAGGTGTGGGTGGGTGGGCTGTGGTGCCCGCCATTGGGTGCAGAGTATTCACCTGGGCCAATGGGAGATGGGAGGAGCTGTTGGGAGCCATGGGATGGGGCCAGGAGGGTGGACTGGCATGTACTGAGCACTCACCAAGTACTTGACACACATTCACTGCTATGTCCTCCCCTCGATCCTATGATGATTATGGGGAAATTGGAATGTGGATGAGACCCAGAATGCACAAAGGGGAAAGACCACTCAATAAATAGAGTGAGTATAGTCACTGCCAGGTCCTCTTGGCCTGGCCCTGCCCACAGAGGCTGTGGACTCTTTCAGGCCAGGTATATGTGTACTCTAGGAAAACAGCAAGTGCCACGGGCCAGGTCCGATAATGTGCTAGAGGAGAAATGGAAGAGTGATCAAGGACACACACGAAGAGGACACATCCCTCTTTTACTTGAAACACTCCATATTTGTTTTATATATATGTATGTGTGTGTGTGTATACACACCCATATACACAGAAGCTCTGATGGCATATAGTGCATAAGGCATTTGACTGCTAACCAGAAGGCTGGTGGTTCAAACCCACCAGCCATTCCTCAGAAGGAAGACTAGGCAATCTACTTCCATAGAGATATCACCTTGGAAACCCAAGGAGGGGTCACTATGGGTCGGATCTGACTCGACGGCAGTGAGAGACACAGACACACATATACACAAATACATATATCTGTGTGTGTATATAGATGCACATCTATATGTGTGTGTGTATATGCACACATATGTGTGTGTGCGTGTATATATATAGAGAGAGAGAGAGAGCCCTGGTGGTGTAGTGCCTAAGGCATTTGACTGCTAACCAGAAGTCTGGTGATTCAAACTCACCAGTTGCTCTGCAGAAGGAAGATGGGGCAATCTACTTCTTCAAAGATTTACTGCCTCAGAAACCCAATGGGGGTTGCTATGAGTCAGAATCAACTCAATGGCAGTGAGTTTGTTTTTTTGGTTTTATACACACACACACACACACACTCACTTATTTGTAAGTATTTGTTGTGTGTCATGGAGTCGATTCCAACTCATAGGGACCGCATGTGACAGAGCAGTGCTGTCCCATAGAGTTTCCTAGACTGGAATCTTTATGGAAGCAGGTTGCCAGGTCTTTATCCCACACAGCAGCTGGTGGGTTTCACTGCTGACCTTTTGGTTAGCACCACTGCACAACCAGGGACCCAGATGTGTGTGAGTGTGTGTGTGTACACCTACATGTATGTGTATAAAATATCTACTATGAAGTTTATAAAGAACTTTCCTAGGTCTGATTTTATCTGGTCCTCACAATAATCACATGAGGTCAGCAAGGATGATATGATTTCCATGTTACAGCCGAGGAAACTGAGGCAGAGAGCTTGCACCTCAGTAAGTGCTGGAGACTCATCTGTGTGTCCAAGGCACTCTTCTGTCTCCATGATGCTCTCCTAAAACTGTATCATCTTTTGAAATATTAACATATGTCTAGTCTGTACCTTCCCCACACACATCTTTTTAAAAATCCAAATTTTAAAGAAGGGAACACAATTTGATTCCATGCCTTTCATCCAGATGAGTCTCACTTGCCTCTTAGGACTGAAGCATGAGTCTTGGCCACTTGGAAGGTGGACTTTCCCATTTAAGATAAATATGGAACTATTTCCTGATGTCTTCCCTGATACCCTCACCCAAAAGTGAGCTCTCCCTATGTGGGACCTTCAATGTTTTCAACATATATTTTGATATGGAGCCTGCCTTTGAACAGCTACCTTGATGCCAGGAAAAATACATTCATTCACTGGGATCTCAGCAAGCAGGAGGAGCTGGTGTGGCAGTCTCGGGTGCTTACCTCCTGGGTGCCCATCTCCGCATCAGTCATGGCAATCACAGAGAAGTCCCCATACCGGTCTCCATTGGCATCAATGGACACCTGACCAGCAATACCTAGAGGACGATACACGAAGAACCTGAAATTAGTTACTTAAAATACTACTCTCTGCCAACAAAAACAAGAAAGTGAAATTGACAGAATTTTTTAAACAAACTAATGCCACAGGAAATCTCATCAGACTGAGCATTTTTGTTGGCGTTTGGAAGACATTGTAATTTCATCTGTGTCTGCATTCCTAAATTCTTAGCATTTCTCCATTTAAAAAAGAAATAAGTGACCCTCCTTTGGGGAATATACTTTAAAAAAAAATGAAGGCAAATTTGAAATCAGTATGCTTATCCCACAGTTTTGTATTTTTAAAAAAAATGTAAAGCATGAAGAAGTGGAGGTGTTGTCACAGACTTTCATGGGTTCACGTTATCAGTGGACCAACATGATGAAAGAACACTGAGATGCAAGGCTCAGGACTCAGGAAATATGCTTACGCATGGGCTCTTCAGTGCACAGGAAAGAGAAGGGTTTGGTTTCATGGGTCACAGTTGCCAATAGAAGACCTGTTTCTCTTTATCCCTATTGCTTTCTTCATTCATTCTTTATACGGATTCTTCCTGGGTAATTTCTAGGTGCTGAATTTGGTGTTGCAGCTGAAGCAAATAAGAGTCAGACACATATCAACAGAAGGGTAGCCTGGACTAGAGATTTAGCATGTTCTCACCAGAATCCATCCTCTGCTCACATATGAATCCTCGCTTTCACATTTAGGATCTCTGCGACCGGGGGCAAGGTACATGATCCTCTGAGCTTCAGTCTCCTGGACTTAAAATACGCACAATAGTACCTCCCCACCAAGATGTTCAATCTACTTCCAAAAGATCACAGCCACTGAAAATTCTATGGGGTACAGTTCTATTCAAACACAGAGGGTTGCCTTGAGTCAGAGTTCACTCGATGGCAACTGGTTTGGTTTCTGGTTTCTCTAAGATGATGTTGAGATTAAATGGGCTAAAACATATGAAGCACTTTCAACACATGTTTAAGAGATATAAGTTGTTTTCCTCTATTATTATAATTACTATTGGGCAATCTATTTCTGTCATGATACTGCCTCGGAAACCCAAGGAAGGGTCACTATGAGTCAGGTCCAACTCAACGGCACACAACAACAACAACAACAATGCTTGAAATCTGGTCCAGGACACTGACCATGCCCACACCACTCAGAAGAAGACTTATCACATCCTGTTGGAGAAGCAGGGAGGACTCAATAAAAGAGTAGGTATTTTATAGGGACCTTGAAGGAAGTCTATGATTTGGACAGGTAGCAATCAGGGAACGGGAGTATTCTAGGTGTGGTGAAGAATACTGACTATACTATGAACTTGTAAAAGAATGAGCAAACCAGACTCAAAAGAAATACAACCAGAAAGGTCCTTAGAAGCAAGGATGATGAGACTTTGACTCACCAACTTTGGATACTTCATCAGGCAAGACCCGTCTCTACGACAGGACATTATGTTTGGTAGAGGGGTAAGACCCAGTGAGATTATCCACACAGAGCCACAACAGTGGACTCAAACATATTGATAATCATGAAGACAGTCCAGGAATGGGCAACATTTTGTTCTGCTGTACATAAGGTCACCATGAGTTGGAGTCAACTCAACAGCAACTCATAAGAACAGTATTTACGAAAGCACAGAGGCCAAACAGAGGTTTCTGGGGAGATGAGCCCCCAAGTGTGTGAGGGAACACCAAGATAGATGCAAGGCTGGAGCAGGGCGGCGGAGCACTGAAGGCCTTCAGTGTCCTCATGAGGGATTTGAACTTACTTGGGCTAGCAATGGAGGTTTAGAACACTTAATCAATAAAAGCAAATACACATTATTAGTATGATATTAAATATGTCTATACTGTAATTTCCATGCATTAAATAAGAGAATGTTCCCATCGGCTGCACTCTAATTAACTGTAGTTATTTGTTTTCTTTCATTTTAAACTGTGGTAGAGCCCAATGTAACATTTATTTGGTGTTTCTACTGATTTGGTTCTGTCAGGAAGTACTGACTCCTCTAGTAAAATGGATGACTGAGAGAAAGGATCCCAAGGGAAAGTTCCATCCTCTAGTGTGGTTTGGAGAAGGCAGGTATTTGGGTTTACTGTCCTTTGGGTTGTGGTTTAAGGGCCCATTGATTTTTCCAGACTTCGTTCTACTTTGCCAGAAACAGAATGGAGCTACCATTCATCTTGATTTTTTGTTGTTTCTTAATATAAAGTGGTTACAAAAGAGACACGTATCTCATATGTATGTATCCTTGACACCCACAAAACTTTAAAGGTGCTAAATATCTTTTTGAAAAACATATTTTATCTCCAAACAACCATTTGCCATTCTATTCAGAGGTGTTTACAATGGTGTGTCCTGCTAAGTGTTTTGCAGAGTATTTTATAAGACAAAGTAGCCCTAGTAATCTAAGACCTCATTACACCTTTAAGCTATTACAATTCTGCCAAGAAGTGGGGTGAGAACCTTAGGGAGGCTGATTAGCAAAGTGAGACCTCACCTGTGTGTACTGTACAGAAGGTGAGATCATGAGGCCAAGAGCAGAATTTTCTGTATAAATTATCTTTATTACTTAGTATGAGGCTCCCCACCCTCATTTATATGGGTCTGTAGTGGAACTCAAGGTTAGAGCCACCGTCTCTTTTACCTTGTCACTCTGACCTCTCACACAGAGAGGAAATTCAGCATCTTCCCAGGCCATTTATTGAAAGTCTTGAGAGCTGGTCCAAGGTTTCATGCAATAAAATCCAAATTTGTCAAATAACATCCAGAGTATTTTTCCCCTGACAACTTAGTGGTCACTTACAGGTTATTTATTTTTAATTCTGGGAAAGTTAGAGTTTCTCTTTATACAGATACCTTACAGTTCCTCTGGGCCCACCTTCAGATGGGACATTGTTTAGCAAATAAATTTGGCTCTCCAAACAATTCAAACCCAAAAGTGATCTTGGCTTCAATTATCTGTACATTTGGACAAGCAAAACACTCACTGGAGAGTGGACTATACAGTTGATTGTTTCAGGACTAATTTCAGATTGCCTATGTAGACCTGGTTGATCAGTGGTTAAAGCATTCAGCTGCTAACTAAAAGGTCAACAGTTTGAAGCCACCAGCCACTCCACAGGAGAAAGATGGGGCAGTCTGCTTCCATAAAGATTTACAGCCTTGGAAACCTTATGGGGGCAGTTCTACTCTGTCCTATAGGGTTCCTTTAAGTCAGAATTAACTTAATTGATGGAAGTTGGTTTGGTTTAGTTTTTTATGTAGACCTGGCTCTAAAATGGAACTGTCAAAATGACCTTGGGGAAAATTTAGCCCAAGCCCTGGGTTCCAGCCACTGCTGGCGCCGCCCTTCCCTTAACAACCTCCCTTGGTGGTGCCCTCCAACATTCCCAACTCTGGCTCCTGTTCTTCTGTCAGAAGACCAAGAACAAATGACCACACCAGGTAGTGAGTAATAACTAAGAATGAACTGTGGCCGACCAAGGTTGTGTCCAGACACACCAGTTTCTCAGAGTATTGTGCACCACTTCTGGGAAATTTGACTGTGTCCTAATATGCCCCTTGAAATATTTTCTTTGATCCCAGCTCCTCAGCTGAATCAGTTAGATATAAAGCAAGATAATCCTGGAAGCTTAATTATCCATGTGTGATGGTGCCTAAAGCATTTGACTGCTAACCAGAAGGCTGGTGATTCAAACCCACCAGCCACTCCTCAGAAGGAAGGTTGGGCAATCTACTTCAGTAGTGATACTGCCTTGGAAACCCAAGGAGGGGTCGCTATGAGATGGACCCGATTCGATGGCAGTGAATTTGGTTTTGGTTTGGACAATCTGCCTAAGCTAAAAGAGATGTCACTCTGATTTGGATTAAGACATGCCACCCACTAAAATCACCAGGAAGGAAAGAGATCAACCTATTGTCACCATAGCTACTGCCCAAACAATGCTAGGTGGAGTTTGACACACACATCCCCTTCCTGTCCTACCCTTTCTAATAACTGAGGACAGACTGGGTCAATGGAGTGACTAGGAGTCCCAATGGCGGGCGGGGGATTGTCCAAAATTTAATCTTGCAACACTTATTCCAGTCATTAGTTGGATTACAAATAAATATGAACATACCTCAAAATGCATTAAAGGGCTCAAAAGAAGAGCTAATACAATGTCATGTCAGTCATCAGCTTGCTCATGTGAAGAAACAGAAGCCAAGAGAATGACTAGAATGAAAAATTCTCATTGCTGACTCAGTAATTTCTACTTTAGATCCAAACACAAAAAAAAACCTGTTGCCAGTCAGTTGATTCCAACTCATAGTGACCCTATAGGACAGAGCAGAACTGCCCCCATGGGGTTTCCAAGGCTATAATTTTTAAGGGAAGGAGAATCGGTGGTGTAGTAGTTAAGGCATTTGGCTGTTAACCAAAAGGTCAGTTGTTCAAACCCACCAGCCACTCCATGGAAAAAAGATGGGATGGTCTGCTTCTGTAAGGATTTACAGCCTTGGAAATTCAATAGGGGTCACTATGAATTAGAATCAACTCAATGGAAGTGAGTTTGGTTTTTTGGGTTTAATCTTCATGCGAGCAGATTGCCACATCTTTCTCCTGCAAAGCTGATGCTGGGTTTGAACTGCTGATCTCTGGTCAGCAGCCAACCACTTAGCCACTGTGCTACATGGGTTCCTTTATTCTATGTCATATGCCCATCACATAGCAGCCATAACTCACTGCCATCAAGTTGATTCGACTCATAGCAACCCCTCCTTGGGTTTCCGAGGGAGTATCTCTACGGAAGTAGATTGTCCAATCTTCCTTCCGAGGAGTGGCTGGTGAGCTTGAACCGCCACCCTTCTGGTTAGCAGTCAAATGCCTTGGGCACTATGCTACCAGAGATCCTAGCAGCCATAAGGACTCCTTTTAAGACAAGACCCTCTTGTGGATTTCCATCTCAGTTGATAAAGTCTAAAGTCCTCAGCAAGGCTTCTAAGCCA